TGATAATATCTTTGTGTATTTTGAGTGGAGAGAGAAAAACTATTTCAGTAATATCTCCCCTCAAATAAAACCTAAATACGCCACTGTATGTACCTATCGACTCTGTAATCTGTATTGTCACGCTGATTCAAATAATCAATCTTATCAAACATAATATGCTTTGATGAATACAGGTAAATCTTAATCTTTGCATTCCTATTCATAACTACTTTACTAATATTTTTTAACTATTATGTAAATCAAAATTTTAAAAGACTAATCCTTATATAGGACCCTTTATAATTCATTAGTTCATAATTGTCTCTGAGAACAATTGTTAAGTTCTCGCGGTTCCCTGTCTTGTTCATTTCCGAGACTTTACATGTTATAGCATTATTTTTATGAATTGATTGTTGGCCCGTAATTTGAATAGATAACAATAAATTATAACGTAATTCTAAATTTTTTCATTCGAACAAGTTCAACTTCTGTCTAGACATTTAATAATAACAATAATTATTAAATTAATTGTGTGCAAAGATTTTTGAGTCAAAATATGAAAAATATACGTACTTATCAGTTTATGTGTGACTCTACTAACACTTCGACATAATATTGTATATTCATCGACCATCAGACAATTTGAATAAAGTAATTGTATTAAATCATTATAGAATGTAGTCTTGAAATAATTTTTTAAGAGGATTCACATCGTTTTATAGATCTTTAAAAACTAGTTGTAATTTTTTAAAACGATGTAAATCTTACTTGCTGTTTTTATTAGAATCAATTTATTTTTTTTAGAAATTTCAAATCGACAGTGTAAATTGACAATTGTTTATTACAGTGTTAAAGGTGGACCGATCAAACTTAATAAAATTGTAATAAATTTAAATCTGCTTTCGGAATTTTATGGTTAGAGACGAGAGTAAAATAAGCTGATATGATATCATATAAAATAAATCGCGACCTAGCTATATTAGTATATTATGTATTGTAGTCACATATTTTTTTCCAATAACCGTTGGCGACACGGAATCTCCTAAAAGTACAGAGCCAGTGTGTTGTGTATAGTGATTTTAAAGTTTAAACATAATCGTTAACTATAATAATATATATAATTTGAGCAATCGCTACTAACAGGTCAACAGGAATTTTCTCAATCTAGTTCGCTACTATTACGCCATTTCAAATGGAGCTAATGCGATTATGGATCACCAATCAAGTGGTAGCAGTTGTAAGTTTCGTATACTTTGTAGTACAAATAAAATATATGAGTTACAAATTCACGCATACGAGTATCATACTTATAAAAATATTAGTAAAATAAAATTTTATTCTTTGTTCATAAATATTATAAATTTTAATATAGAATGTATAAATCAAAGACAATCCAATATAAAGGTAACAAATTAGGTAGGTACTAATTGCGGTACATTGTCTTTATTTCGTTTAAATTATTTTTTTCCTCTGACTCATCTATATGATTATAAAATTTATTCCGTTTGAATTTTATTTGTATTTTTTTCATGTTCTTTTCATGAGCTTTTATCTTTGAAAACGATAAAATGTATAATATAATAAAGTATATAATATATAATACTATGTTAATAATTTATCGATAAATATTATAAATATACAATAATGAACTAATGAAACTATTTAAAAATTATGAATTTTATTTGTTTAAGATTAACTTGTCTAATATTTTTATTATATAGAGTGAGCTATTGATTTATTTATTTTTGACCTAGAAAATAAATAATGGCATTTATAAGATTTGATTTCACGTTTACGCACTAGAATTTAAATTACTAATTATACTCGAAAAAGGAAATAAATATCTATCGATTGTATTTTTATTTTCTATTTTAGTCTTTAGATGATTGCAACTATGCAAGGTTAAGCAAAGGTAAAAGAACTAAATAGTAAATACTAATGGAAAATTTTATATTTATAAAACCTTGTTTTAGATAAATGTACTAATTGATTAATTGGTTTTTCAATGATGTTTGTTATTATTTATTTATACAATTTTTTTTGGTAAAAATAATTGAAAATGTTGTAAAATATTTCTTACAACTTAAGTGTTCTTGTAGAAATATATGTAATTTAATACATAGACACACATCTTTTATACACTTGAACTTGAAACGTTTAAATTTTAATTTGAGAGTACCTAACGAATTTACTTGATTGTAGCGCTTATTTTAAATATCAAAAACTCGAAATATTCACTTTTATTTAAATTATAATTTTAATGATTATTAGATATTTATAATATTTGAATTAGTTTAAAGCTATATAGCTGATAAGATAGTGTTACGAATTCATTTACATCATTATACGTTAGTTATACTGACTATTTAGTTTTAAAAACTTATCGATATAATGTATTGTGCCTTGTTTTTGGTGAAAATAGTTCAACTTAAGATTTACTTACTGTAAAAATCGTATAAAAATAAATTACTTATAGAAATAATATAAATAAATTATATACTAATAGAAATAGAGGTAAACAAATTATTAGTATTTAATTATTAAAATAATATATATTTAAAGCATATTATTTAATTGTCATTAACTTTTGAGTTAATACCACGATCATATGCAAAACTTTACGGAAACTTTAGTTTCAATAGGAAATACTTACAAGAAATATTTTGTTAAATTTTTATGTTTTAGTTATACAAATTGAAGATTTTATACATTTTTCCACTTTAAAATATTTGTATTTTATAGATTTTTGAAATTCAAATGCATAATATAATAAATAATAACGTCTATGTATTTTTAATTATTTTATACAGTTTTAAGAAAATTGTATATGAGATTTTGTATTAAATTTTCGAAAATTTTGACTCAGAGAATAATTTTTATTAACAAAATTAAAAAAAACAAACAAAAATTTTTTCATTCTTATAAATAGGTCACAAGAGTTGAAATATTTAGAATTATTAAAATAACTAATTCCCTCCAAATATTAATTTCAAATATTTAGGTATATATAAAAAAAAAAAAAAAATTTGCTTTTAAATTTTTTTTAGATTTTACAGTTTTAGTATAAAGTAAGTACTTATCATGAAAATTGTATTAAATTTTTAGTTAATATGTGTAAAAACTTTTTTTTTAAATTTCGAACTATAAAATAATTTGTAAATTTTTGAGATTTTGACGATTTTATTTAAGTTCTAAATAAACAAAATTATTCCTATGTATTTTTAATATTTTTAAAATTGAAAGAATATCTTATTCAACTTAAACATGTAGGATCTGGAATTAAATTATCAAAAATTTTGACCCAACGATTAATTTTTTATTGACATTTATAGAAAAAAACTAATGACAACTTTTCATGTTTAAAAATTTGATCATATATTGAAAATGACAATATAAACATTTGTTGAAAATTTCAAGTATCTACTGTTATTTTTGTTTTGAAATTCTAAAATAATATCATAAACTGCTTGTGAAAGAATAATTATTATGTAGATGAATATCTAAGTAAAAATTAGAACTTCAAAATCTCATTAAAATTAATTTGGCTTTCCGGAAAATTTTTTTTTTACATAGATTGAAAAACTATGAATTTAAAATTACATTTTCAAATCTTAGGTATAAAAACAAAAAAAAAAAAATTATGAATTTCTTACTATAAAATAATTTATTAATATCGTGATTTTTAAGAATTTTGTCAAAATTTTAGTTACAAATGCTTACGAAAAAAATATTGTAACTTTAAATGTTAAGGTTCATTTCTTGATTTTTTTTTACGAAATTGGTATTAATTTTTTATTTTATTTAATGTGGTTTTCGCAAATTGTATTATTCTGTAGCACAAGTTAGAATACAGATGTGTCGAATAATATTGGACAAATTGCAGTTTTAATAAAACGATAAAAAGCTATAAAAGAGACATATGGTTATTTTAATATAAACAAATCATAAAATTAATTATTTTCCTTGATAATACAATCTAATTGTTATTATATTGTCAAACAAATTATTACAACTTTGGATCTATTTGTATGTATATAATATAATCGTGTGTAAATGTGTACCTAACATAATGAGTATATTTTTATATTTTAATTTATTATACTAGGAACAATAATTATATTATTGTTTTCTAATTGATAAATTATTCGACTCTCGAATTTAGGTACTAATTAAAATGTATTTATATTGATGATATTACATAATGTATAATGTATATTGCATTACCACTTAGTAATTCATATTAGGTGCTTTTAAAATTAATTAATTTTTATTCACGGTAAATATTAATAATTAATACGTCTATCATCTAGGCTTTATAAATATTATTATTATTTTATAATCGAATAACAAGTAATCGATTTCAAAATATTAAAACGGACAATCGGAGTTACCTACCATCGATAATACTATGTGGCGTTATCACTAATTTTCTCGCTGTTTTGCTGTGTACGACACTCGATGTACACCGGTACAGTATCATGTACTACTCGTATGAAGAGTAAGTGTATAACAGGTGTTTATTATTCTAATGGTCAGTGCATAGTATAGTGTGTAAAATGATGTTTGGTAAACATAACAAACATTGTTATACTATTTACTGGCGTGTCACGAAATTTCAAGAACTTTACTCGGATAATCGTTCTATAGAAGATATATGATTCTTGTTCGTATGATTTACAAAAGCAGGAAACGTGTTAAAATTCAGTCTCAAATCGGCAAGTCAAACACATTGAGAAAAAAAAATAAACTCACATTACGAAGAAAGAAATGATAAACATAAACGATGTTATAACGTCTGATCTTATTAGACAAACGTTAGTGTGTGGAAGTGATAAAGAGAAAGACGAAAAAATGAGCACGACATTTTGTCAACGATCGATCCACGGACGCGGTATAATAGTAATAATAATAATAATACAAACGGTGCGGACCGTTTCGCATCGGCAGAGCATTGCGCAGCAGCAACGTCGAAATCGACGGTCCAGTCACATGGTCGTCGATTGTCTGCGATAACAGAATGAAAAGCAGCAGTAGTAGCAGTAGAACAATAATGATGGTAGGGCCGCTGATGCGTTTTTGTAATATTAGTTCAAACCCGATCCGTTCCTTCAATCAGTCTTGCGTTTGATCGGCCGGCTCGTGGTTCGCTTTGGTGTAGATGTTTTTTCGTTGCCGTCGTTTTCATTCCTGCTGTTGCTGCCGCCGCATACGAAGTATATACATATTTTCTAATAATTTTTTTTCCCCCCAAATTGTTGTGTACCGGTAAACGGTTTCAGAGATTTTTTTTCATTTGAAAAAAATTTGAACCGTAACGATTGTTATACAATCACTTTTGTAATATTGGATCTTGCACGCATAATTAATTATTTTATTTTTATTTTTCTCATTATGACAAGTTACAGGTACCTACAGTGTCTTACCCGGTTATCCAAACACGTTATTCAAATGATGACAACCTACGCTTTTGCCTTTTGTGCACTCGAGTAAATGGTTCGTACGTGTACACTGTTTTGCACTACCGTTCACATCTGATCACACGATTTCGTTGACGGTTTGTCTTCGATTTTATTGAGTAGAAAAAAATACGCTTAATCTACCCACGAGACCATGGCTAACAAAATGCGGTCCAAGAACCCTCCGGAGAAGAAGACGCCGTCGGTGTCGATGATCAGCAAACGACCTCCGGATGGTGGTTGGGGCTGGTTTGTCGTGTTCGGATCGTTCATGATACACGTCGTCAGTAAGTGTTTTTTAATCATATTACAAATAATTTTTATAGGTAGTCTTAACAAATAATAATAATAATAATAATAATGGATCGTTTTACCGACAAAAATAAATTCGTAAAAAAAAAATCAACACTCGCGATTATATTATAATATGTTTACATTTTATATTCTATTTTAGACTCTCCCAATTCACATTAATTTTATACTCGTGTTTTGGCCCAAAGCCACTGCGCCTATCACATTTTTTTTTTTTTATTATTATAATATCCTACATTCGTTTTAATGTGTACTTGATGCATAATATATTTTTACTCAATCTTGTTAGAATAAAATCATCAGCTTTTGTACTATACCGTCCATATCTATACATAATAGTGGTTTTCAATCCTTTAAAAACATTTGTTGCTATATTCACACATTGTACAACAAAGATATACGATTAGTCATCTTTTATTTTGTTAGTTTTGAAAATTTAAAAATTGTTTAAAATATACAATTATAAGGAAAAACATTTTTTTTTTTTTTTTTTTTTTTTTTTAATGCATGTACGCAGTTTTAAATTTTGAACTGCATATTCAATTACTGAAAAAAATTATATGATAAAGGTAACCATTGTTTTTATTACAATTTAAAATATTATGTCACTTAGCTTAATTTTTAAATATGAATGTTATTGATTTAACATAACCGTTATAAATTGTTTGTTTATCTGTTTGGCCTGTTTCCAATTCATAAAACTACTGTTGGGTTTCTATTTATTTTTTGTTATTGGATGAACAATCAGGTTTCAATTATTTTTAGGATTTAAGTATATCAGAAACTTAAGTTACTTTTTGTTGTATTAATTTAGTCCATAAATTGTATCATTTTATATAAAAAATTGATTCAATTGATATTAGATATTCATTTTGATTTAAATTTATTGAATGCTAATAATAATCTGAGCATAATATCTATGAATAGTTAGATTAATATTAGATCATTTCAAAAATCAAATTAGTTTGAAAGCTAAATATAAACTTATATTTTACCTAAATGTATGGTTTTGAAAATAAATAATTTTAAATCATATTCAATCATATTATGTTTTGGTCATATTGTATATAAAAACCATAGTAATGTTTTTGAAAATGAATGAAAATATTAATTTCTATTTACACTTGTCGTACAAAGTTATTATCATAGTTCATACTATTATTCTTGTAATTAATAATTTTGATGTGATTTTAGAGCAATGCCTCACATTGTAATATTATGTTAATAACTGTAATTGTATGGCTCTATTAAGTACCTGATATTGTTTATTTTCTATTAGTGAACTTTACCTATATTTATCTATTTATTTAAAAAACAAAAGAACACGGGTCAGTATAGAATTTATCAACTGTTTATATTAATTTTAATTTTAATATTTTATTGTTTTAAAATTATTTAAATATTTTATCTAATAGTTTGGGTTTATCTTGCTAATTTCCACTAACAAGTACATTGTAGGTCAATTTTTATCACAAAATTAACATTTTACGAGTTAAAATAATAATTATTAATAAATATAAATATGATAATATTTGTCTTTGAATATGTCCTGATTTATTTTAAAATGTATTTATAAGATTTATTAAATAGAAATGCTTAGTTATTGTATAATGACAGTTTCTGAGATTAAATTTAAGTATGATAATATTAGACCTCATAGGTCGGTATCATTAAATTTTAATCATAAACGTCTTGACAGTTATGTAGAATAGATAAGAATTAACTTTTAAAAAAAATCTATAAATGTGTAAGTATTTATATATATATATATATATTTGCATAATATATGAATAATAACTAAAAATGGCAAGTACCTAATGTTTGATTAATATTAGGTATATGAATTAATTAATTAATATTTATTGACATGAGTTTAGTTATGAGTTAATTGATGTATAGATATTATGCGAATACCAATTATTTAAATTACCTTATATGCCATAAGATAATTTCTATCTTATAAATTTAGCAATGATTTTAAAATATTTTAAGTTTGGAAAGAATTAGATACTTAGAACCTAATGTGCTCAAAAAATATGTTAACTAATAGATTAACTACCTATGTGCTATGACTTACGTACTAAATACTTTATTGTTATTATTTTTATAAATAAAATATTAATCATAAAACTTTTCATTAATTAAGTACACAATTACATTAAAAGTAAGAAATAAGTACTAGATTTGTATTTAAATGCATATTCTTCTATTCATTAAATGCTTGATGTATAAATATGTGAAAATTGTGTAGTATTTTTCTTTATTAAAATTTGAACCCTTGTTATAATGTTTTTAAACTTCAAAATTTGTTTTTTGTTATGACAATATGGTTAACTTATGTGAGTTTATGTTTATTAAATTTAATTCTTATAAATGAAACAACAGTTTATGTGTAAAATTCAAACAATTTTAAACTACTAAGTAATATCAAAATTCCCTTTGTAAAATGTTTTATCTATAAATTACTTTAATTTTAAATCTTAATGGTTATTATTAAATGAGCTGTATGATTTACATTAATTACTTAAATGAAAGGTGTATGGCAGTTGACAAGCCTATTAGTTATATTCATTATTAACATTTTATATTATTTATTAAATATGTTATTTTTTAAAATTATTATCATTAAATAATGACTACAATAGTATTATTTAACAATTATTTTATACTAAAGGGTTTTAAAGACATTTTGAAATGAGTATAGTAAAAAAGTGTGCGGGTTGGACTAACATTTTTAAATTGGATGGAATGCGCTCTGTAGGTGCTTTTGCAGTAGACTTGGTGTTGTGTAAAGTAGTATATTGTGTCTTACCCAGTTTCTCAGGGTGCATAATTTCATTACATATAAAAATTCTAAAACCTGTATTATTGTGATAAATTCTTATAAATATTTATAAAAGTAGAAGCTTTTATTGAAAATCATTCTCTTGAGGATTTTTTATAAGTAATTACAAGATGAATAGATCAATTCATCTTATTTTAGTAAAAATCTTGGATTGGCGCATGGACAACTTTTTATCTCATTTATGGGAGTGATTGTAAAAGAACGGCTACAAGTTATAGTTTAACCACATCTTTCAAAAAGCCATTACTTAAATACAATTATTTTTCATTCTTAATTAAAGCTAGGTAATAACAAAATAGCATTATGTAAATAACGTTTGAAAAACATTTAAAATAAATTTTACTTGAAACTTAAAATTTTATTGGCTTTTAAACCTCCTTTACAGACTATTTATAATAGTTTAAAATTTACTACGTGTACAAATTCTACATTATTTCTATTATAGCAAGATTGATTGAGTAATGATTATTGATTAACCCAGAATAGATTTGCATATAACCAACTTTATTTTTATTTCTTATAGTTATATTTAAAATAAATTGTTTATAGCTATTATTTTTATATACAAAGTTTAAATTTTGTGATTTTATTTTATTATCTTGTACAAATTAACTAATATAACTATTATTTTACGTATTAGGTAAGTGTTTATGATTAAAACATAAATGAAAATTATTCATTTTGATTAATTAAAATATTATAGGTTAGGTTAGGTATTATAGGACTGTCTAATAATTTTTTAATCATTTATACTATACAATTATATTATTTATATATATTTTAATCAGGTTAATTCATTTGAAATTTTTATACATACTATTCCACTATGCCACTTTAAATAATTTATTTATCTAAATATATTTAGATATTAAAAGAAAAATTCAAAAAGATATAACACAAATAGGTATCTCATTAATGACATGATATTAATTGTGTAATACTTCAGAATCTTACTTATTTAGATTGTACTTGATATATACTTCATGAATTGTTAAACAAAAAAAATGTAAGTTAGGTAAAAGATATATGCTTGATAGTTGATATAGGTAAGATCTTACAACATTTATTTATTGCAGACTCTATATAAAATAAAGTACTTGGAAGTTTAGTAGTTTCTATATTTTATTGTATATTGTATGCTAAAATAAAATAAATTAATTACATCTTATCTTAAAGAATTTTTATTTCAGAATGCTTAAAAATCAAATTAATATTAATATTTAAGTATTATATCTTAAGTGGTACTTAAACTTATAATTGCAGTTTTCTTTCTGATAACTTCATAAAAGTTGTTGAAAATAATTATTGTAAATCAACATTAACGTTAATTCTTATTATATTAATATCTATTAAGAAATTAGTCTTCATTAATAAACATTCAAATAAATTGATTTTAAAACCTCTTTAATAATGTCTAGGTATTCATTAATAATGTAATACATGAATATTGAATATCTACTATTTAAGGTGTGGACGTATAATTTTTGCTGTTAAAATTTATATTATTTTGCCTTGATAAAATATATATAAAAGAAATATTATTAAGTATCAAATACCTTTTTCATTTTGTCCAATTTATAATCTATACAGGTGGTGTAAAATGGCACATCATTAACTTTTATATTAGTAATACATTATTTGTATTCTTACTGAAAATAATTGTCTGATTAAAGCAAAATGCAAACTTTTTTTGTTCTAGTTATTATAAATTTTATGATAGGCTTAATCTATATCATTTACTCAAAGTTCATATTATTATGCATTATAATGAGCTAGGTACATAACATATTAAATATTTTTACTATTTCAAAAAAAAGGTTGGAAAGTTAATATATTTTTTGTTCTACTTAGAATTTAAAATGACATAAATTAAATATATATTTAAAATATTAATGTTATTGCATGTTATTAATAAGAAATAGCTAATAATTAATAAGCAAGGTTTGGTAATCAATGCATCTATAATCATCCAAAAAAGTGCTTAAAAAAATCACTATAAAACTATTTTACAAGCATTAAAATAAATAATAAGTACTTAAAAAATCTCTACAAAAGAAAAAAATGGCTACCACATCAAACTTCTAAAAATTAAAAATCAAGATCTTTTCAAAAAAATGTTATGTTTTTCCTATTATATTATAAAACACTGAGTATTTTTATTCTTAAAAAACATAAAAAAAAAACTAATATAAAGTTAAAAATTTCATAAATAAGCTAAATTAAGCACTTTAAAGTTTCATACCTGAAATCGTAGTAAAATGACTTAAATTGTCATAGCACTCTGCTATATTTTATAAAGTTAAAAAATAGGCTTATGTATTAAGACCTATAAGAAATAGTAATAATTAATATTCTTCAGAAAATTGGAAATAGTGTTATTAAATTAGAGTTTTTAATGTAGTAATTATATTATATTCTTATAATGTAAATTATTATTATAATTGATTTTTTGTTAAAAAATACACCAGAAAATGCTTGTTTTTCTAATTTGTAAGTAACTATAATTCTTGTATAACAATATATTATAATAGAATTATTAAATAAATACTGTGTATTAATATTTTATTCCTTGTGAATATTTATAGCATAGCATAAAAAAATTAACTTTTTCATTAAAAAAAAAACTGGCATCTTTCTGATATTATATAAATGATATTAAAAGTTATCATGCTTACTGTAATATTGTGATAAATGATAATATATATATTTGTAAACAATGTATCACTAAATTTTATCTAAAACCATTTTTAGTAACAAAGAATAATAATAATCATAAAATAAATTACATTTTATACATTAAATTTAAAAATATTATTATTTTGTTAATGACTTCAATTTTTTTTATTTCAATTGATTGTTTTTATAAGATTACAAATATAAATTGTTGCTGGATATAGTTGATTACAAAAAAAAATTCAATAATGTACCTATTAAATAATAATATTAATGTTATCCTTGTAATTTTTTGTTTAGCTGATGGAGTAACTTATTCGTTTGGTGTTCTATATTCAGAATTTTTAGAAGTTTTCAAAGAAAGTAAAGGGGCAACTGCTTGGATCGCATCTTTATTGGTTGGAGTTACATTATGCTCAGGTAAAAGTTAAATATTTTAAATATACATATGGTTTTAAAATAAATTTAAATTATTTTCACTAAGAAAATATTAAATTGTAAAATAGTATCATATTATTTTAGTTTTTATGTTCTAAGAATTTTTTATACACTTTATTATCATAAGATAAAATAAATATATATAATACCTAGATTCTATATATGACCTTTAAAAGTAAAATTATCGTACATTAAATATAATATTGTAATATAATATCAGTGGCGCAACCAAAACTTATTCATAGGGGGGGGGGGGGGGTCCAAAAAAATTTATTTATCTACTTTTTTCTGTTCATTTCTTTAAATAATTCATGCATTTTATTGCTTAATAAACAAAATTATATTATTTAATAAACATATTTTTACATTTTTAAATTTATATCTACAGTGTATGTCAATTAATTATTATTATTATATCAGTTAAATTATGGTATAATTATTAGACATTAGTCTTAATATTGATTTTATCTATACATCAAATTCGACGTGTTATTAACAAATTACCAAATCAATCTAATCAATAAAATTTGATGAAAATTTCAGGATAACTTTAAAAAATAAAAATAAATATTATGACATAAGCCAAGGAATAATATTAATATAATACCTACTGTATGCTTTGTGTTTGTGGAATATGAATTTTTTCTAAATTTTACTCTCTACAATAAGATTGATATACCTGAATACAGATATGGCAATGAATTTTTACTACTTTTATAACACAGAATATTTTCTTACCTATACATTTGAAAATAGATCAATTCACCCAAATATTTAAGTTAATAACGTAATACTTGAGCTGCAAAATTTTAACATTGGTGTGCTATGTGTTAGTAAGACACAAACAACAACTCTGGGGCTGACTTTCAAGTATATTTATAACTATTAATTATTTACTTATTTATTAGTTATTACTTTGTATTCATGATACTATTATTATTGTTTGAATACAATTTTAAATTGTCAATCATTAAATTTCCAATTTAATATATTTTCTTGAACTATTATTAACTACCTATGTAATCAAGTAATATACTGAATTTTTAACACAGCTAATTTACGATTCTGTCTAACTCTTAATTTCATTCTTTATTTAATATATGTATTCAGCTTGAAATATTGAATGTAATTATTTTTTCTGAGTATTGTGTTTTAAAAAATACTGTAGATTTTCAATTGCCACAATTACTATTGATCTGATTTGGAAAAAATACTTTTCTCTCTCTTTCGATTGTCTGCCACGTGAATCCGGTGTTACCACGTGGACCAATGTTCTCACTCAAATTGAATAAAACGATTTCATTTAAACGTTCGATGCTTGATTAATTTTTTTTATAATGATCTCACATCGCAATATGTGCGTTGACATTAATCATTGACTTGTTTAGTTTCACATGCCAGTTTATAATATACATTTTATAAAAACGATATACATTTTATAATAATTTGCACTTCATCACCACTCTCACGTATCAAAAATGTTATTCGTATCCATTTTTGAGTACATATAATATGTATTTTTTATTAATATAATATGAAGTATGAGTTATTTGACATTCTTATATAATACTAGTAGAAGTAGTAACCAATATAAATCCGAACAGGACTTAGCGTTCTGCGCATGCTTAGAGGAGTACTCTGATTTTATAGTGCACATGCCTCAGGCAATACTACATAATGGGTGTAGACGGTATATATGTATATTATTATAATATAGGTTAGGATACAATATATATTATCGTAGTAAAATTCGAATTTAAACACATCGCGATCGGTTCTTTTTTTTATTTATTGTTTTGAAGAGATGGTTTGCGGTTGATTAATTTTTGTACTGCCTCAGGGCGCCAAATTCCTAAACACCAGTACATTTAAACCAAGTATGTTCATGGTATTTATCCTTAGACTAAATAATTATGTAGTCGAGTAAGTATAATATTGTAATATTATATTGTCTTATACTCATAATGTAACAAAACATTTAATTATTACATATATTATCATTTGTGATCAAGATCGTTAAATGTTTAAATACTGCGCGGATTATATTTTCAAATGAAGCAAAAAAAAAAAAAATTACAAGCTTAAATCGTAAAAATATTTGTATATTCGTATTTGAATACGTTTTCATGAAAATCTTATTTTAATTAAATAATCTTTTATGAGCGATGCATAAAATGATATCTGTGTTTTAATCTTAAATTAATAATTTTCCAAGACTAATAATAATGATAATGATTGCACGACATGCGCACGCTGGTTCCGTTGTATAAACCGCGTGAATGTAATGGAGATAGTAATTTATATATATATATATTATAAATAATATATGAAAATGGAAATCGTTGTCACGCATGTTCTCTAAAACTACTCGTCCGATTATCTTGTTTTTTTTTGTTTTTTTTTTTTTTTTAATGAAAGAGTACACTGCGGAATGGGTTTTAAGTCTATTTCTGATTCTATAAGTTAGTAAAAAATCTACCTTTTAATTTTTTAAATGATCGACAATTACATAAATTAAGATATTTATTTTTTTCATCCGTGTTATCAATTATTAGTTATTATTAAAAATTAGAATTTTAATGAATAATTGATGTAGTATAACAGTATATAACTTTTTCATTGTATTTGGTTAGTTTTTGGTCTAGGATAAAAAAGAAAAATTATTTAAAAAAAAATGTAGTAGTTAAATGGTAAAATAAAAAAGCAATGCTGCTATGTAAAGTTGATATGTCGGAAATATCATCTACTCACCAAATCAGATAACCAAAAATATTATTTATCTAAATTCGTTTCGCTAAATATTAGCATTAGGCAATCTAATTTAACATGGATGCATTTTGTACAAACAATGAAGTCACGGGGATAGCTAGTATATTATATTGTGTATAATATATTATGCACAATGCGCATACAGCAGGAAATGGAGTTATTGCTTTATAATTAATGTAACACCAATATCTAAACAAATATAAATTATAAAGTATAATTGTATGAATAAGACATATTTTTGTAAATGTCCCTGAACTGACAGTAGTGTTTGCAATTTGATTATTTAAAAGCAAAGATAAAGTTAAGTATATATATAAGCGATTTCATTTTTATTTTAAGTTCAAAATATTTTTGAAGATTTGAAAATAAGTCGTTTTAGTAATTTTGACGTTATTGTTTTTAACAGTTCACTCATCAATTAGTAACTCGATTTATTAATTTGTAGTGTACCTCTTCTAATGTAAAAAAAAAAAATTAATTAATAAAAAATATATATTCATAGTATAATATCTATAATATGTGTTTTATATTCTACATAATACATAAATAGAACACATACAGAATTGCTATTTATTAAAGTTGCAATTATAGAGCTTAAGGTTATCTAATAAAATCATTTATACAAGTCCATAAAAGATTATGTGTTCATAATTGGTCATAATATATAACAGAGCTAGATATTGATTTTATTCTGACCCGTTTTAACTTTATTTATTTTATAGCGTATTTAATATATATATATAAATGTATTGGTGGCCGTTAATGAACTAATATTAATGTTGAACTCATTGTTATTTTATTAATTATAAAAGATGTATTATATATGATTTGATGTAAAAATATAACACGTTTGTAACAATAGTTATATAATCTATTAGTTTTAATTACAAATATGTTATTCTATAGTTTAAGTATAGAGTACCTAGGTATATGACATGTATAATTAGTTTAAAACAATTCAATTATAATACCTTCATATACAATCAGTTGAAATAATATTAAATATTATGGGTTTTTAACATCAATTGAGGGTAATTTATTATAGTGTTTAAAATAATAAACGTAAAAGTAAACATATTTTTTGGTAGTTAAAAATATAATAAAAAACAGGGGAAGTAGGTAATTTTACTCGGTTGTAGGTACAGTAGTACGTGACGAATGAGACTCGTCATTGAGGAGTAAGTCACTGTTACATGTGTTAAATTTGAATTCATCAAAAATTGTATACATTTTTGATTACTCAACTGTTTACAAATTATAGTGATGATTTGGACGAGTTATGTAAAAAATTGAACTTAAATGCTTATAAATATAATATCTGAGTACCTATGTGTATTTAATATTTTAAATAGTTATAATATTAACTTATAATTGAATCTTGTGTTCAAATTAAATTGTCAAACTTTTTGATCTAGAGATAATTTTTTACTACCATTAAAACAAATATATTTTATGAATTAAAATCAAAAATAATTTGTATTATTTTCAATTTTGACAAATTTTGTCAAAATTCCAATTTTAATTGCTTATAATATAGAAGATCATATTTATTATTTTTAATGTTATTAATAACCTAAAGATGCTATTTTAAATTAGGTAAAATGTTATTAAGAAATAAATGCATATTGAAATTTCTTAACTTATAATTGTAATTGAATACAACTATTGACAACAAAAGTCTTAAATCTTATATGGTAGTTATTACCTTAATTTATATAAAATAATCTTGTATTTATACGTATACAACTATAAACAGTATAAACCTTATAGTTTGTAAGCGCGTTTATTGTAATATTTAAAAATTATTTTAATAGTACAGCTTAATTATACTGTAAATATATTATAAGTAAAATAAAGAATGAATTCTGGAGAAGTTATCAAAGATATATATTTTTCTAAGTTTCTTGTATTGGTCTGTTAAGTTGAATATTTTTGTGTTTGTTTCAGATGTACAAAAACTGATTAGTTAGGTTAAATTTCATTTGTTTTATTAAGTCATCAGAGAATATTTGAATAAAAGAAATAACAAATTGTTATTATTTTGTATCTACATTTTATTTGTATTTTTAGTTTGTAATTTAGTTAGGTATGTATATTGTTTATACGTTTATTTTATTGATTTTAGTTCCATATGAAAATTTGTAATAAAAAAAAGTAGGGATAATATACATGAATACACATCATCTGAAAAATTGAACATAATCAAATGAAGAGTGATGGTTATGTTTTAAAACGTTATCATCCCTAGGCATATTGATAATTATTATTGTTATCGAAATTTATAAAAAGTGTAGTGGTATGGATATTAAATAATTATTTGGTTTGAATTTATTAAATAAACGTACATTGAAGTATTCAAAATTTACCAAAATTCTAACATCCAACGATTATAAAAAAATATTGTAGCTACACATTTTCAAATTTTTTAATTGGCATATGAACAATATATGGAAAATTTTGTATTTAATTTTCTAAGAAAAATGTTTACTCTATTATAATTTAATGACATTTTTTTTAGATAAATTTCGTACCCAATAAAAAGTTTAAATATTTAAAATATATTATTATGTAAATAAACGATACAAATTTTTGATTAAAAATTTAAGTATCTAGGTATGTTTATTCGTTTTAGAGTTACACAAAAAGAACAAAATAAAATTTATCTTAATTTTTAGTTTGTTTTTCTTAATTATTTATTTAAAAAACCTTGGGAATGTTCAATGTTCTTAAAAATTTAAATCAGATTAAATTTTCTATCAGAAACCACATTTAAAATTAAGGCTGAATCATTTTTTTGATTAATCATGTATATTAAAAAAAAAAAAAAAATATGTAGACAAGTAGTAGATACCACTCACCACTCTGCTATACATTAGTTTTTAGTTGGTTATGACTTATGAGTGTATCAAATTTGAATTCAATGATATACGTATCATTGTTTACAAAAACAATTATTCTGAGCGAAGACGATTAATTTAGTGTCAGCCTATATCACTTATTTTTTCTGAAAAATTATATTTATTATATTATTTGTATTTAGTTATTATAATAATATGTATTTATACCATTTTATATCAACTTATATAACGTAATATTTAATGACATATTTCTATTAATATCGTAAAACAGTAAAAATAAATTCATATTATCTATAAATAGTTAATATTTTAAAACAAATCAAACATTTTACTCCATATAATTCAATTCATAATAATACAGTATACGTAAAATTTTTAAGTGTAATTAATATTGTATAATTTGATAATATTTTTGATTTTAAAAAAATAATAACTAATTTTTCGTTAGAACACAATAATTTTGTTAAAATTTGAACCTCTTTAAATTTCTATAGAAATTATTGTTAATATATTTTTTAGATTTTTTAGTTCCTGTAAGAAACACTTATAATGAATATTATATCACGTTTTTAAACCTTGGAAATAAAAATTTAAGATTTTATAAATATTTTGAAAATTTATTACACATAGAAAATTTCAAATTTCCGTAATTATTCATTTTTAAATTCTAACAAAATAAAGATATATATTTAGTAAAAAATTAATTCAGTGTAGAAATTCTCGTTTTTTCTCAATTTTGTATTTGTTTTTATGCAATTATAAAAAAAAAAATATTGGGAATTTTTAACTTTGGCCTTTCTAAAGAAAGGACTAAAATCAAATTAGCATTCGAAATCATCTTTAATGATAAAAGTCGAAGTATTTTATCCACTTAAATTGAAAAAAAATACAAATGTATTGTCAAAGATAGGTCTAATATAAATTAATAAATAACAAATAAATAAGATAAATGCATCTTATCACTCTAATGCTTGCATAATATTTAGGTTTTGTAAAATGTATCTTTAAAATATGTCATATATGCTTTTATACAAATCTATCTTAACAATTTTAATCTTTGATAATATTTTGCTTATATTGAAATTTATCAGAATGAATCTAGTCTAGAATAGTTTTTTTATCATTTTCATATGAAATTAGTATGAAATTCCAGTTAAATCTGATTATATTATACATTTTTAGTCGGTTATTGCTTTACTATTAACACAAATTTTTTCTTGATTATTAATTATATAATATACGATTTTGACATATTCATCATATTATAAAGTATGTAGGTTGGATACATTTAACCATGTCTAACTGTCAATTACATACACTTGTTAACACACAAGGTTAATATTAACCTAGCAGTTATCTTATCTTACTGTTGCTTATGATTTTCATTAAATTTTAGTAATTATAACTTTTGAGCTTTATGTATTATTGTAGATAGTAATAGAAATAATGACTTTGTATTTTGTCTAAATATAAATGAATAATAATTCAAATATAATAGGTAATTAAAAGCTAATAAATAACTAGCTGTGTTTAATTTAAATAAAGCTTAAAAAATTTTTTGTTAAAAAAATCATTTATATTTTTAAATATAAAGCATTTTAAGTGTCAACTGTAATTATTAATACCAAATTAAATAAATATTTTTCAAGTTAAAAAATAAAATACATTACACATGGTAATATTTGATAGTAGGTATCGTAATAGTTGCTAAAATTGTATTTATTTATTTTGCTTGATTATAAATATAATTTGTTTATACAAAATAAGAAATATTCTTAGAAATATAAAAATTTCCTTATGATTATAATTGACCTAAAAGGTTTATTATGCATTTTTTATGGTTTCCTTTATAAGAGTTATCCTTAATTTCTTTCTACATCATTTTATAAGAAAACCAATAACTGTTTTCAAATATTTTGATAATTGCCGCCATTAAATTAAAAATAGTAGTAGCATACTAATATTCTGGCACTGTCACCTTTTTCACAATATAACATCTAATAATTCTACTTGGCATAATATCATCGTTGACAGATAGCTATTACTTGGTCAATTATTGAAATGTTTACTTGTCAGAAAATTGGGCATAGGTTTATCGTATACCTATTACCTACATAATATCCAAGTATCCAAATTTATCAAACATCTAAATTAATCAATGTATATTTTTTGGAAGTAAAATTATCTTACAGACTACAGTGCTTGGGCTGTATCCAATTTAATTGTATATTTATAATTTACCTATACATTTTTTACGATTACCTTGTGTCTGCATATCTTGTAAAAATTTGAGCCTTGAACTCTACTTCATTTGTCTGAATCAAGAATAACAATTATATTATATATTGTAACAATAAATAATATTCAATCGCCTATTGATCGATTGTGTACAATATATTATTGTCAATATATCTACTAATGTATACGATACTATCATTGTGTACCTGGAAATATTTAAATTAAAGTTTAATTTCCTTTCAACGTTTCTGTCATTTTGTATGATATGCGTAGGTACAACAAATATGTATACACGCGGTCTTAATGGCCATTATTCAAATAATGTTATTGTTATTTTAATGTTATTATTAATAACCGAAACCAATGATATGTTATGTCAATCTAATTTTAAACACTGTAGATTTCATTGTTTTTTACCTATCTATTTATTTGCTCGTTTATTTTTTTCACGTATATCAACACGTCGTTTGAACTTAAAACTATGCATCTAATTTTAATAAATACGATATTAAACATTAAACATTTAATATCATATTTTTATATAAGTTAGTAATATAAGTATAAAAACTTATACCTAATCTTAGTTCTTTGTTGCATTTGATAAAATAAAATAAAATAATCTAAAATAAGTATTCAGTGAGGTCTAAATTAACAGATGAACTATAATTTATAAACCCGTTATGTAAAATTATTTATATATTTTTTTTTATACATTATTGTACATCAAACATTAATTTATGTTTAAGGTACAGAAGTTTTTTTTAGTAAGATGAAACCTGTATACAATTTAATATAGGTATATTAGTGAAATTGTATATTTCGGTTGTCGTTTAATAAATAAATATAATTTATAATTGTCTTGTCTAAAAGTTTTGATACGCTGCAGTTGCATTTTACATCATTGAAAAAAAATATTTTAATTTTCAATGGGAATGATTTTGAATAATATTATTTTTTATATCTACTATATATTTTAATAGCAGTGGATAGATAGATATACTGTGCTTATTTACATATAATTAATATTTACATAACCATGCGTATAATATATTAATACATATTTTTTCACAGTGAGCGGAGTTATGTAATTTTGACTAGGTATTTAAATTATACCTCAATTGCAATAATACAAGGAAAATAAAGTTATTTAAACTATTAGTTATGAGCTGACACTACTGTTTACAGATTGTCAGCTCTTCAATAAAAACTATTAAATGCATTCATAAGTTTCTGGATGAATGCCATTTTCAAGTATGAGTAGAATTCATATGGATATTTTGACAATGCAACAAAATTATTTTTCTTTCCCGTTTTATTGCATTAATGCATACCATTATTTCTTGGGCATAATTTATTAAACCAAGGTAATGTACCTAAGATAGTAATATGTACTTGCAGCTCTAAATTATTAATCACTATATGCAAATGGTGTGATTTAATAGGAGTGTTGAAGATTTAATAACTCGCAAATAATGATACATTTCTTGATATTAAAGATAATTTAACAACATAGTTAACTAGTATTTTTAGCCAACCTTATTTAGATATGATCTTTATATAATATTGGCAACACCGCTATATTTTAATCCCTAAATTTATTTGATTATAACAAAAGAATTATGCAGTTCATTGAAGTAATTAATAGTATTTTTAAGTATTTTTAATTTATTAGTTATTTTTTAAATTGTTACTAACGTATAAATTAACTTTGTAAAATATTTATTTTCTTGAAAGGTGTTTCTTATGATATAATATAAATGTTATGATTTCTTTTTACAGGACCTATCGCCAGTATTTTCGTAAACAAATATGGTTGTCGTGTGGTGACCATTGCAGGAGCCATACTTGCGAGTATTTGCATGATGGCCAGTGTATTTGCCAACAGTGTGAAATTTCTGTACGTAACTATCGGATTAGGAACAGGTAAATTAATAGTTTTGTTTCCTTATATGCTCGTATGATATGAAGTTGCAATTGTTTAACATTACTATTATATAATAATTTTATAAGTTACTACAATAATTGTAATGATTTTTAAAAGCCTTGATAATATGACAGTTAATTTTACTGATTATTAATATTTAATAAAAATAAAAATTACAAGATTAAAATAGGTTGCAATGGCTACATTTGTACAGGTACATTAAAAAAATTGTAGTAAGTAGGTTATATCATATAACCTATATATAACTTATATGTATTTGTTACCGTCACTTAAATACGCAGACTTCTAAACTGTATTATGTAAATATGAGTATATATAAGCAACTCATGCCTTCAAATATATTTTATATTTGACTAATTTTTCGACTGGCGAATTTATAGGTAAATATTTAGTTTGTAATTATATTAGAATAATATTATATTAGTTTGTTAATATATGTTTTTGGTTTTTTAATATATTAACTAAATAGCTTACATTTTTTTATCCATAGACATTTTTCCAACCAAAAACATAGTGGATAAATTTAAATTATTTCATATTAAGATTTATCATTCTAGTATAATATAGAAATCCGTGCTTTAATATTGTTGTGCGTATTATGATATTTTTTTTATCAATGAATCGTCGTACTTTGAATAGTATGATATACATAGATATTATGTTGAAAATTTTTAGTTTTTACCAAAATAATATGGGTAAATATTACTAAGTGATATGTAGGCTTTAAACAAATATATATTCAAATTTGTATATCTTAAAAATGTTTTTAAAAATTCATTGAGTTGTACAGTTTTAAATTCGAATACCTATATTTACCATTTTTAAAAATGTTGAGGTAGTTTAACATATTATGTCTTATTAAATAACTATAATATAATTTGAAATTTTTGAAATTAATTTGGTTGAAAATATATGTATTTACGGGTTAATATAAAACTACATTTACAGAAAATATAGATTATTCATCAAAAATAATATTTTTTTTTTTGCATAAAAATATAATATTTTTCTCTTGTTTATCCATGCTATTTATAAATAATTGTCTATATTAAATTACATTTTTTTAAATTTTTAATTAATTTAATTTTTAGCCAATTTCTAGAGAAATAAAATTTAAATATTAACACTATTTTCGTTAGTTATTATAAACTATTATGTTTCATTTGTGTTTGTCTTTTGGTATCTTTATGAACCAATTAATTTTTTTTTTTAATTATATTTATTTGTTTATCAGCTGATTTGATTATTACGTTTTTAATGTGTTAGTTATATTTTTGGAGCCATTATATTTTTATATTTTTAAATTTTTTCCCAGTAAATATAAAAAAAACCTATTGCTAAGAAGTTATAAAAATTAAGGCTTGGTGATTATCATACTGTGCATGAAACTGGTAATGCAGTTAATCGAAACGATCAGCAAAAACAGTATAACAATAAACTCATTGTATATAGGTATATATTATAATCAAACACTGACCACGTGTACTCATTCACTTGTTAGAATATACTATAATTAGATTTATATAATTATTCGGTTTTGTATAAACAGGTTGTCTATTAAAGAATTACATTTCACTAATTATTTCACCATTAGTCTGTATCAAAAAAACATGTATCTATGCACCAACGCATCGTAGAAGTTTTTAATTAAAGTATTGCTTATAAATTATAAGAAAATATCTAACCAGTACGTGGGTATGGAGTTAATAAACAAATTATAAATATATTGTCCATAATTCACAAAAATTATAATAGTAGAGCTATTAATCCTTTTTCAATTTAAAATTTGAAATGAAGAAAAATGTTAACTAAAAGATGACGTTATAATTAATTATTTTATTTGAAAAATTATTATACTGATATTCTAATTGATTTACCTAATTAAACTAAAAATTAATTTTTCTAAAATTATATTCGTAAAATAATATTGTTTAAAGTAAGCTTTATCATATGATTTTTTTTAATTTACCCCCCCCCCCTCCTCCCCAAAAGAAATTATTAAAAGTACGCCACTGCTCTGTACTATCGATAGTAAATAGTCTTGTACAACAATTGATTATTATTATAAATGTGTATGCAAGAAGACACAATATCATGTATACATATTATACTTACTTGACAATGTTCTTGAGTATGATTAGTAGCCTTGAATGATACATTTTTTCAACAATAATTGTTAGCTATAATCGCCTAAAGCATATTATTTTTTTGATATTTCGATAACATAATAATATTACATAAATCAGAAGAATAATGTTACTATAGTGTATGCGTGCAATAAATGTTTTGTGTGGGCTAAAAAGTAATCTATGTTTCAAACTTCGGAATTCGGAGCATACTGCTGTTGTTTGATTCGAGACGTTCATTTCATAGGTATTATACATGTTATATTATTTATTACAGACGTAATATTATGTTTTATTAAACTAGTCGTATTTGGGTGTATCTCATGTAGGGTGGCGCCTTACCGCAGCATACTTGCTATGTACTCGTATATTATGTGTTTTTCGTTAAGCCCATAAATGTTTAGCCAGTTTGCAACTGTGGTTTTTGACATTCACGTTCGTCTAAATTGGGCGTGTTATCATTATCGCGCCGTACGCTTGATATGATATTCGGACTACGTTGTAACTATTTTCACCGTTTAATTACATATATAGCTTTTAACTGGATTAGATACATGTTATGTGTTCAACGACAGTCCTATACTACTGCGGTATTATAATGTGCAGTTGATCTGTTGATCGATTAAATTATTAATTATTTTAGTTATTACTCGAGAACTGTAGCACAATGTTGTTGAAAATGTATGTTCATTATTTTTATTTCTTTGTGTAGGTGCCGGCGTGTGTATATATAACATTTAGACGTTTATAATCGTATTGTGTTACGGACAATGATAAATCATTAAAATCCATTAAAAATATACTATAAAAAAATATATATTGTTTGCGAATTTAATTAATTTACGTATATATATATATATATATACATAATATTTTTTACATATTTCTTATATTCTACCAATACAAATATGTTATAGGATATTAATACGTATTAGACAATAGTATTGTATATAGTGTAGTATTAACGATTTAACAATGACGATGACTATACTGTGGGTTTCAACGGTAAGAAAACCATACGTGACATAATAACAACTATATTAAGTTATGACTAAATTATAAGCTTACTAAAGTCTAGACTCAAGGTGTGTAAACCTTTATTTGATTTTAATTGTTTTATTAATACATATATAACATATTCGTAAAGTTTTTGATATTTTTTACTGTAAGTTTAACACATAATAATTATATTGTAGGTAGGTACCTACCTATATAATGCATTTCACTTAATCCTTTTACCAGTATAACTATATTAGGACTTCAGATATTTATATAGGTGGAATTATAGGATTTGATTTCATAAGAAGCTATCTTATGACTACCTATTATTTTTTCAATGTAGTATATCTTCAATTTATTTTTTGATATTATTTATTACCGAGTTTTAAATAAAATATTTCAAAATTATTTTTTTTTTAGTCATTTTGGGATTTGTAGATAAGTTTATTACTATTACTTAGTATAGTGGGGTTCGTGAAATACATTCGAAATATAATTAGAAATACGTAGAGTTAATTTAGTTAGTTTCATTCTAATTATGAAGCTTTAGGAAAGAGTAAATATGTATTTCTGATGATATATTTATTATTACATGCATAGTCAAAACTAAATATTATATAGTGTTAAGAAAGACTTTCGTTTAAGCATCTGAAGGTCTTTATTAAACTAGACGTTTTTTGCTTTGTTTATCAGAACTATCGTTCTTTATATGATGTGTTTCTTTTGTAATAAATATTAAAATTAGTGGATAAAAGTCGATGTCGGACAAAACTCAAATATCTCTGGACAAAACACGAACTACTCGCATAATACTTGTGTAAAATGTCATATTTCGGTTTTTGTCCTGACAAATCTAGTTGTGATGAATCTAATTTAGGAAAAATCATAGTACTTTCTTAAATAGTTAAGTATTAAATTTAAATAATGATAAAAGTATAATGTTACTTATTAGAATTAAAAAAACTTCGTAAATTTAATTATATAATTACAACATCAATATATTTTTAATGTACTTACATTCATGATTAATTATAATAAAATAATATAGTTATTATCTTTCCACCTGTAATGTTATATTAATGAGACAATAAAGTGTATTTTATATACCTATAACAATATAACGAGTAGATATTGTACGATAACAACGATAAATTGATTACGTATAGTCATTAATAATTGTAATAAAATCTTACAATAAAAGTCCCTACAGTTTTTACTAAATGAGATTGGTAACAACTAGGTTTGTTCGAGCATAAGCATGAATATAATATTTTGTCCAATTATCGTGGGTAATATTCGCGTTTTGTCTGGGTATTTCTTAAGTTTTCCCAATTTTGACTTTTGTTCGAAACATTTATGCATGGATAAAAGGATGACTAATCTGTTTCAGTATTATTATTATTATTATTATTATTATTTATTACCCATTTACATGTCTATGATCCGTTGCACTACTGATAGTTAATTGCAGAAATAAATATTTCATCTGAGAGTTAATCGGGAAACTAAAGGGATTATTTAGGGAGCTAATTTTTCTACTATTCTAAGATCACCAATCTTATATTATATTATCTTGTGTAATATAAGCATATTTTATTCTTTAATAATATTTCTGGGTTTATTTTAAATCACTGCTATGTAATTAAGCTTAATCTTTAAAAACAATTACTAAAAAGATCTTATGTTAATCTGTTAATAACAATTTTATAAGATTTTATTGTATTTAAACTATAATAAGTATTTTTATCTAAATACAGTCAAACTATATAAGACTTATAGATAAAGAAATATTGTATTTAGTATTATTTTAAAATGTAAAACACTTATGATATATGATTAAAAAACTTAAGTGA